TACGAATGAGCCAACAGTTACCGACGTCCCGCCACTTGAAGTGGCACCACTGCAACGGATAATGACGCCAGTCGGTGAGTCGGTAGTTGAGCCAGAAGTCTCCCAAGAAGTACCGGAGGAGACCGACGTGCCAGTGGTTCACCGCCGCAAGAGATCCAGTGTATCTCACGTGGCGGAGAGGATGAAAAAGAGGCAAGATACCGGTGTCGGCAAAGACAAGGAAGAGGAACCCGAAATCATTCTGAGGGACTCTTTCCTCAAAATTAATGAGAAGAAAGCAGCGGAACTGACGCTGCCGGAGGGTGTGTTCGATCCCTGGTTTCCAATGTTTCAGACGGTTGTGGAGCCGAAAATTACGAACAATCAACGATTTCCTGATGAGGCGGTTAAAGCGGCCAGGGTTCCATTGATGTCGTGGGACCCAAAAACTCATGTGGGAATCGCGTCGCTGCCAGACGACCAGAAATTTAGTTATGCCCGAGGTTGCTTGGGCCGGGCACTTGTTAGTTTTATAGCGGTCGAGGACAGTTATCGGAGCAGAGCTCTTGAGCTTGATGAGAAGCAACATGAGTTAAGTTTGAAGGAAGGCGCCATAGCATCTCTGGAAGACGAGAAATCTCGTTATGAGGCGACATTATCAAAAAAGAATGCTGAGCTGCAGGCGGCACAGGCGGAAGTGAATGCTCTTAAAACCGAGAAGGAGAATTTACTGTTAGCCCATGATCTCACATCGGTCGAGCTAGCCAAAGTTGCTGAGGTGGCCAAAGAGAAGGACGAGCAGCTTACGAGGTTGAAGGCGGAGCTTCAGGCTGTACGGAAGGACCGATCTGATAAAGATGCCGAGTTGATCCGAAGTCGTGAAGCTCACGAAGTGGCCATGAACAAGCTTCGTCAAGAAATGGTTGCCGCCGCCGAGCTCAAATTCCAAGAAGGCGTTGATGTCGGTAAGAGACCAATGACTGAATCCGACAATGTTTTGAATACCGACACTGTCACGGAATGGGATTTAGAGTTGAATGCCGCGCTGACATTACGCTGGGTAATCGACCGAGTAAAGAGTGGCGTCTACACTATGGACGAGCTACGTATCTTCCTTCTCCATAAAGTGGAAAAGCATGGACTAAATCCCGAGATGAAGGGTGCTCATATTCCGGCCGATCAAGATGAAAGAGACTTCGCC